GGGAACCAGAAAATCTGGGTTCCATTCCCAGAACTGCTACTGACTTCCTGAATGGTCTTTGACAAGTTACTCAGGAACTGATTATTAAAAGTGTTGAAAACCTAGAGCTTGTTAAGTCATTCTGAAAAATCAGTCCTTTAATACTTCTGTGAACCATACACTTCACTTGTAAAAATGGGGAGGTATCCACTTCACTTGCACAATGTAGTTATTGTGCGGGCCGGGAGCGGTCTGAGGCCCTTTTTTCGCGCGGCGGGCTGTGGCCAGCATCCCGGACACGCTGGGTTGGGGAAGGCAGGCGGCACGCTAGAATTAGGCACGGACGCTTAGTGGTTGATTTAAGATTATTTTACTTACACCAAAGATGGTCGCGGTGCAGGCAGGAAAACTTGCTTGAGTTGCAGTTACAGATAGAAAAGAAGAGAGGCGGACTAGAGTTCCTTCCCGTGAACCTTCTAGCCCGTCCGGTTGGAGGCTCTAAACCGCGAGCCCGTTGCGCCAACCGAAGAAAGTACTCGAAGCAAAGAGCTCTGAATAGACTCACACGAAGTTTGCTAGGCTCCGTGGAACTTGCGCGCAGGGAAGGGTACGTTGAGGGATCAGGCAGCGACGGGGAGAGGTGAGAGGCTGATCAGACCCCTATAGCCTTCTTGAAATACACGGTGGGTCCAATAGGCTCCGCAGCGCTTAGAGATCTTCACAAGATGTGACGTTCTCCTCCTCCTGATAGTCGTGGAGTTCTCCAACTTGGGCGGAAACCGCTCAAGCCTCTTATACGGCTAGCAAGCCAATCGCTAGCCGCCACGTGGGAATAATTTAGAACTGGCCAATAGTGGGGCACAAATTTGAATACAAATGGCAGGAACTCCTTGCAGCGTGCATTTCTCTTTTGCAACCTAGAAATGCACCCTGCAAAGAAAGCTACGAGTGGCGGGAAACAATTTAGCAGTGCTGAAGCACACACAAACAAAAATCACACCCTTGGGTTGTGACAGTTATGTTAGATGGAAAGCCCTATTATATATAGGTGCTATAAGATGTTAAATTTTATGAATATTCTTATGTTTATTACCTGCACACACAATGTCCAAACTCTACTACAGCTTACAAATTACATGCATCAAGCAATCGAATGATGAACACTGGACCCATATTTACAAACCTGAGTTATTCATATAACCTAAACTTACAGTAGATCATGTAAAGTTAATTTGTCATCCTTAGTATTATACTGAAAATAAGTTATTCAGGTTAAATACTAGCTAGCCTTTATCTTGAGAGAAATGACAGTGGAATTTTTGGAGTTTTGCCAAAGTAAAATGTGGACCCAGCTGGAAAATAGAAAAAAGAGTTTATAAAAATGTTCATGAAAAGTTTTTTCCATTTTTCAATTTAAAAAAAATCATTCAGCACTGGAAAGAAGTGCTGTGAAAGCCATAGAAACAAGGGCTTTTTGTGTGTGTGTAAGCATGGAACTGATAATGAACTGATGTTCACTTTTCAGTTGGGGAAGGCAGCCAGATGCCTGGACTGACCTCGGCCACAAGATGGGGGGCACTAGAGCACATCTTCCAGCCTGCTGGCCATGCTTGAGCCCAGACAAGCAGAGCCCATCCCTGGTTTGCTGCCCAGGGCATGTCCCCAACCTCCTGCTGTCTCCCTGCTTGGGATGGAAGGAGGCCTGTCCGGGTGTCAGCCCTTGCAGTGAGGGATCTGCCTGTGCATAGCTGGTAGGGTCAGAAGGGACCTGAGCAGGTCATCAAGTCCAACCCCCTGCCATGGGCAGGAAGGAATGTTGGGGGGCAAATGACCCCGGCTAGGTGTCTATCTAGCCTCCTTTTGAAGACCCCCAGGGTAGGAGCAAGTACCACTTCCCTTGGAAGTTGGTTATAGATCCAAGCCACCCTGACTGTGAAGTAGTGCTTCCTGATGTCTAGCCTGAACCTATTCTCAGTCAACTTATGGTCATTATTCCTTGTTACCCCTGGTAGCGCTCGGGGGAACTTGGTCACTCCCGTTCCCTGCTGGTCCCCCTTTGTAAGTTTAAAGACAGCCACCAGATCCCCTCAGCTTTCTCTTGTGGAGGCTGAACAGGTTCAGGTCCCTTAGCCTCTCCTCATACAGCCTGCCCTGCTGCCCCCTTATCATGCAAGTAGCCCTCCTCTGGACCCTCTCAATGCTGTCCACGTCCCTCCTGAAGTACGGTGCCCAGAACTGGACACAGTACTTTAACTGCGGCCTGACCAGTGTCGCATAGAGGGGGAGGATCACCTCCTTGGACCTGCTCGGGATGCATCTGTGGATGTAGGACAAGGTGAGGTTAGTCTTACTGACCGCGTCCTCACATTGGCGGCCCATGTTCATCTTGGAATCAACAGTGACTCCAAGCATTTTTTCTTCCTCTGTGCTGACGAGAAGGGAGTTCCCCAGCCTGTAGGTATGCTGCTGGTTCTTCCTCCCTAGGTGTAGTACCTTGCACTTGGCAGTATTAAAACCCATCCTATTCTCATCTGCCCACCCCTGTAACCTGTCCAGATCTAGTTGTAGCCTGTCCCTCCCTTCTAGCGTGCCCACTTCTCCCTACATCTTAGTGTCGTCCGTGAACTTGAATAAGATGCTTTTCACCCCCTCGTCCAAGTCGCTGATGAAGATGTTGAACAGTGCAGGCCCATCGACTGAGCCCTGGTGAACCCCATTGCCCACATCCCTCCAGGTCAAAAATAACCCATCCACCACCACTCTCTGGGTGCGGCCCATCTAACTGTGTAGGCATCGATATCACAGCATCATTTCCTGTCTCGGACCATTTCCCCTGCCCCAGCTGGTGTCCCCCAAGCTCTGATCTGCCCTGTGGTGGGAGCCTAGGGAAGCCTAGGGGACTTCCTCTCCACTCCCTTCCGCATGCGATCCAGTCAATGCTCAGCCCACCCCCACAGGTGGGAGGGAGGAAGCAGTCCCCCATCCCTGCAACTGGCAGACTGCCTATGTGGGGACCCCCCCCACTTCAATTGATTTTCCCTGCCCCAGCTGTTGTCTTTTGAGCCCTGGGCTGCCCTAGCATCCAAGAGCACAGGGGAGGGGATCACCTCTGTTCCCACATGGCAGGGCAGACCAGGGCTCCAGATACCCTGGGTAGGCTGGGGAAACCCCTGAGGTGGAAGCATCCCCCCAAGTGGGCAGCCCCCTGGCTGTTGGCATGGGGGACTGCTTCCCCCTTCCCATCTGTGAGGGTGGGGCTGAGCTGCACCCTGCCCATGTTGGGGAAGGAAAGAATCCCCTCAGCTCCCACACAGCAGGGCAAATGGGGCTAGAGGACCCCTAGGCAGGGGGCTCCCCCCATGTGGGCAGACCCCTGGCTGCAGGGACGGGGGCTGTGGGCTGAGCACTAGCTGGACCACAGAAGAGGGGGAGACAGGAATCCTCTTTGTTCAAGAGATCCCAGACCAGGACAGGGGAAACCTCCTGAGGTGGGGGGCACCCCTGTGTAAGGAGCCCCCTGGCTGCCAGGACCAGTGCTGGCCCAGGGGACTGCTTCCTACCTCCCACCTGCAGGAGAGGGCTCAATACAGGGATGGGGATTAGGTATGGGAAACACCAACTGCCTGCAGCTGGGCAGAATGGGGCTTGGGGTCAGGGCTGAGGCATGGGGACTCTGTTCCCCCTTCCCCAGCTTTCTTTCCTCCAGCTTGGCTGTGCAGCTGAGGCTATCCTGCCTGCCCTGCAAGGGAGGGTTGGGGGAGGTGCAAATCATCCTGGGATGCAGGGAGAGTTGGACCTAACTTGAGTTGGGAGGGGGGGATCTGAGACAGAATTCTGATAGACTGGTTTAACTTAAATGATTTAAGTCTGATACTATATTCATCCAGGTCTATCTTAAATTGAGTTCAGCCATTTTGAAACTGGTCTATGCGCACTGAACATTTGCTCTGTTAGACATTTAAACTTGTTTCCAGTCAAGTATACCGGTTTATGTGTAATTTCTGTCCCAAGCTCTAGGGTTCCAGTTTTGGGGAGATGTAAGCACATGCTGAAATTTATGCACAATTGGTAGTCACTTTGATTTGAATGGAATAACTCATAGTGCATAAATGTAAGCTTGTGTGTAAAGTCTTTCCATTGCTGCTGATGACAATGCTACAAACATGGAATCTTCCTCCCAGGTTAATCGATTTTTCCCAAAATTTGTTAACCCATTCTCTGAATGGTAAAATTCAGTACACTGGGAGTACAGTCAAAGCTAGATAGATATTCAAACAGAAACACAATATTATGCTACAAATTTGTGCAAAGAAACATTCCAGCATGCAATTCTACTCCCCACATCCCCTACCTCCTTCCAAAAAAGAGAAGTTAAAGGTCAAGAAAATATTTTTTTTTATATATATTTTCTCTATTGTAAGCAAAATTAGCAGCCTTCTTGAAAAGTGTTACTGAATTTTGAAAATCAGATTCATTTTAAAAGCTTCCAGATTATAATGGACTTTGGAAAGTAAAGTTGAAAAAGCATCTGTTCTTCCTGAAGCTGAAAACTGTGGTTGTGATGAAGAATATGGCAAAAAATTATACCTTACAGGGATACATGCATTTGCCAGGGAAAACAAATCGTGACTGAATGGCTATGACACAGAATTCAAAAGAAAAAAAAGAAAAGTTGTCAGAAATGTAGTTTATTTCCTCTCCTAAAATAGGATTAGAAAAATATAAAAACTAATTTGCTGCTGAGACTATATCCTGTCACGTTAAGCTCCCTTGCCAACATATCCAACAATATTTTGCTTTATGTTTAGTTTTCTCCACCAAAATGAACCTAACCTCATGTATAAGTCATTTAGAATGAGCAGCCACATTTCTTCATGCCCTGAAATTCTATTTTGTAGCTGTAGAAATCATTTGGATCTGCTTACGTGTCCACTAGCAGGATTACACATAGCTTTAGATTCTTGGCAAGTACATTATTGTGAGTAAAACAGCAGAAAATTATTTGTATTTCTTGGACTTACTCTTTGATGTGCAGGTGGGGATGTTGTAGGACTAATCAATTCTTGATTTTCCATGAGATTTCCATAATCTGCCATGCTGCCTTTGAGAGGCAAAGGAGGAGGAATGTCTGCCATCTCTAAACCATTGAGTTCCAGACCTATAAGAATTAACGTTTCTTTAAGTCTATGCATCATATAAATCAATCTTAAGAAGCAAAGTATTCCTTGAAGGATTAACGCTCTAATAGAAATAGTGCACATGCATCCATTTGTCCATTCATTTCATAGACTGAATAATTATTTGCTGCTCCTGGAGTAATGTTTTTTAAATTAAAAAAACTGATGGAATCATGGCAGTAAGGATCAATGTGTCAAAATAAGTCAACTTGTAGACCTATGGTCTCTATCAACACTGCAAAGGTCTTTCTCTCTTTTTAATAAAAAAGGAAATTGTACTAGATTGTTGCTTGCCTCAGATTTCACTCACTGATATTCACAGCTCATTTAAAGCAAATAAAATTTTCTCAGCTGTAACCTCTGCATCTATACCTTGTGCAATATTGAAATATCTGAGGCTGTGAGAAGTTTATTTTCTAAGGTAGCACAGAATATAACAGAGGAAAGCTTTATTTGCTTATCCACAGTAAGCTAGCAGAAAGGCTTTTAGGAATTAAATGCACAAATGAAACCCATAATTAACTTCATATCTCTTCGGAAAACCTTCAAAATCCAGAGCACTGTAATGATATTGAATGAGGAGTCATTAGGTGTTTAAGTAAATAACACTATAATCCAGGAGAAAGTACAACAGCTTTTAAAAATGTATTTATTGGAGGAAAAGTTGCTTTCCCATAGAAGTGCAATCATTAATAGAATAACATTGATCTCTACGATGAGGTCTTTCCCCATGTACCACATAAAAATATATTTTGAAGTAAAAGATGCATCATTTTGTACTGGTCCTGTGCACAGAGTGAATTTCAAGCAAAATTCAGTGGGACTTCTATTAGAGGAAGTAGCATTGATAAGAAATGTACTATGATTCCTAATTTCAAATATAATTTGAGGAAGCTGCTTTTGCATAACATTTTGGGGGGGTATAAATGGAAGATCAAACTATTTTCATGCCAAATATCTGACAGTAACTTATAAAACGTTCCCTTTTATTGTTTCCCAAATTGTCTATTATTTCACCAGTACAACTTTAGATGAAAGATAACTATTGACTTATCATTGCAGTTTCAATGTAATCTCATTTGTTTTCATTCCATTCATATTATACAAGCACAAGAAATTTTCCTCAACTGTTGCTTTCAGATATTTCCTACGGCCTCCTTTATCAGGTTGAAATCTGTCTTGTAACTCAAGCACAATTCCATAGATATCTGCTCTGCTGTTCCCATTTGTACTCCTCCCTCCTTGATGAATCCTACCTCACTTCACCAATCATTTCCTTTCTTTTTTATCCTCTCTCTCATTCTGTTGCATTCATTGGTTCCCTCCTCCCAAGGTCCACTATTCATCACTTCTTACATGCCTCACCCTCAGAGCCCGTTTTTAGAAAGCCCACAGGTGCAGACAGCGATCCCGCGCTCCAAGGAAGATGTCTGTTTATAGCTTTTAAGGTATTATCAAAATATAGTGGTGTCCATTCATTATTGAAAAATAATGGTCTGAACAGTTTTATCAGATAGCGCAAATCAGCTTTGAATGTTTATTTAGAAACTCCATTTCTGAAAACAGAAATTCTCTCTTTGTGATAAAAACCCAGTTCCTTAATATTAGTACTTTTTGTGTCTGTTCCACTACAAAAGTTAACACAATAAAAAGTAAATAAATAAACAAAAGGATTCTTCAACAGTACTTTTCAAGTTAGAAGTTGAAAAAGAAACTTTTTTTGTGTACGTTAATTTGTACATTTTTATTTGACATCCTTCCACATATAACCTAAACAAGCTGCATTCTTTTAGATCTGCCCCTAAGCACAATTTTGGAAAGAGGCATTTAAAACCCATCATATTTCATCATTCTATTTCAGAAAGAATAGGATTTTATTGCCTCTAAATAAGCATTTTAAGTGAAAGATTCATGCCTCTTTAGGGCAGAAGGGAAACAAGTGTGCTGAACAATTCCCCTGGGTATATTAGATGATGTTATAGTACATACTAAATTTTTAGGCCAAAGCATTGAGCCTAAACTACTAAAAATATGATTAAATGCTACATTTTGTTGTCAATTAAAATCGTACAATGCGAGTGATTACAACAGAATAGAACCAATGTAAATGACAATAGAATTCATCTTCTAAAATGTACTTTTACAAGACTAACTTCTGAATTAGAGGCAAAAGTAATATTTATACAATTTAAGTTTAAGAAATACCTTTAATTTAAACAAAAAATTCTGTACCTCATTAGAAAAATACTTCATTATTTCAACACTTTTACAGAAGACCTAACTCCTTAAGGGAAACTACTGATTTTTCAACTAAATAATTTTTTTCTTAATTACAATGTGCAATTTTTGAATTAATAGAACAAACAGGTAATTGCAAATAGGTACCTTCTGGTACTTATATTTTAGTAGCTCTAATTATATAACAAATTCTACATTCATTTCAAAGTTAGGGCAAAAGAATCCCTGCGGAAATTTCACATAAAGCTGCCTACCTTATTTGCTAGGAAACACTTGGGACCAAATTCCTTTTCTAGTACCCAGCCAGTGCATCTAAGACAGTCATATGGAAAAACCATAAAAGAAGAATCTTGTCCACAGAAGCCAACCTGTGGCAATTCTCCATTCTGGAATAGCTTTAACCTAGAAGCACCCCCCAGAACTGTATAACAATTGGTCCTCCAGCTCCATTTCCTTTTCCTCTCCCACTGCAATAGCTGAGTCTCAAATGAATTTCATTTGTGGGGGCAAGGAGGAGGGAACGGTAGTCGCCCCAAAGCCTGCCATCCACCACATGCTTGAGAACCTGTCCAGATTATGCCTCAAAGCGTAGAAAACTTCAATCCAGTAAAAGCTGTGTTAATCAGCATCCGGGCAATGCGGCAAAAGCGAAACCGTAAGTACCACTTCTGGGGGACTTCCTGTTTTGCCTCTGTGAGACGAGTTTTTCTTTGCCGCTTTTTCGGCCCGCAGCCCAGGGCAAAGCAGCCTGTGCGGGGAAAAAGCAGCCTGTGTGGGGCCTCCTTCCCCTGTCCCCCAGCACACTGATGCCAGGGAGTGCACCACATGGTGCACATTTGATTAACCAGAATCTTTGATTAACTGGCATCCCCCATTCCTGGGAGATGCGGGATAACAGAGCTTTTACTGTATATAGTACTCCTTTTCACTCTTTACACGCTCTTTTCATTCCGTTTCAGGTGAGCTCAAATTTAGACCTGACCCAAGTCCAGCACTTTACATGGTAGATCTGTAACATACCATATAAAAAGGATGTGGTCCAAATGATCAGGCAAAAGTATGGTTTTAATGCCATCCAAAAATCACATTACAGCAGTATTTCAACAAAAACACTACTTTTGGCTGCCATGCCTTGTAAAGGACCTATTTGTCCAAAATACTGTATGTCCAATTGTGATACCCTAAAGCCAAGGCTACCTACTGCTTCTGCCTGAATGAATCTTAAAAACCTTGCCTAGGTAATTCCTAAATATTTAAGTGTAAATAAGGCTAATCATTAGTTTTCCTGTGCTATGATTGTGGAGGGAACTTTATCAGAGAGGAGGACTGTTCAATATTGTCTGTCTATCCTTTACATTATTGAACATATCCTGCTGGGAACAACTTTGAGCTGACAAGGGATCCACTGAATGATGTGTCTTTTTCATCTTTATCTTCTTTGTTTCTGTGTAGAAAATTATCAGTTTTTACATTCGATTCTTCTGGGCTGTCAAAGAGTAAGCGCTATTCACATTGATCAATATAAGATTAACGCTATTTGTTCAACTTCCTGCACTGAAATAATAGAGTATTGCAAGAATTCTTTAAAGTGTTAAGAAGCTTAAGTCTCTGAATACTTGTCATCAAGGCCTCATGTCTTCTGAGCAAGCAGGACCTAAATTATATGGGCAAGATCTCAAGATTCTGCAGGACTCTGATTCAAAATTGCTTAGAGCTATGAATTTTTTATTAAAACTAATATGCTTCCCATGGAGTGGGGGCTATGCTCCTGAAGTGGGAACCAGGGGATACTACCCCTATCAGGTGATTGGTGGGGGCATTCTCCTAGGGATTGGGACTCTCTGCTTGTGGCAGCTACTACTTTTCAGCAAATATGTATTGACAAGCCTGCCCCTTCCCAGGCAAGGGAGAAGGCAGACTGCCATCAGTGGATTCCCTTGAGGATAGGGGAATACTGGACCCAAGGACCAGTACTCAAAGGCTGCTTCGCTGGAGAGCTTGCCTGTGTAGCTCTTCAGGCAGGAGACTGCAATACACATAAGTTTCAACTCCTGGGCTATTTTTCTAGGAGTAAAAATTTCACATAAATTCTTGCCAATAGAAAGAAATGGCTGTTCATACCCCCGAGAGTGGTTCTGGACACACATGGCCACTTTAAGAGACCTACATGCCTCATTTTAGGGAGTAGGTGGTTGTGGTGTGGGTGGGAGTAGACAAGTTATGTTTCATGCCAACACTTACATGTAGGGGAGACAGGACAAAAAATTTACTGAGAAACTCCAGATCAAGTGAGTGATAATCTTGGGGAAAGATATTAATTAAATATTTTATCATAACACTAATACATTGTCTAACATGCATGGAGGCCATAATGCTGTAATCTGGTTACATGATTAAATTAATTATGTATTTTGAATTTAATAATTTAAATTCTTATCTTGGAAAAAAAAGAAATGTTTACATATGAAGAAGTTATCAGGTCACAGCATGTCAGTCATACTAAGAGAAAGTTAAACAACAATATACAACTAAATACACAACGTTAACTCCATAAATGCATGTATGCCTCCTTATGTGCATATACATGGTGGCTTATACCTCTTGTTAATCTCCTTTAAATGATTCAGTTGGTTCTAAAATGTTTTAGATTAGTGACTCTGTATTGTAAATTATTCTGTGCAAAATAATATAGGAAAACAACTTCATTTAAAAACAAACAAACAAACCCAAACCACAACTTACTGGACTGTAAACTGAAAGAAAGTTTGGTCCTTGGGGTAATTGGGGGTGGTGTTGCTTGAGAAGCAGGAGGTGATGGAGAGACAGAAAAACGTCTTTCACTTGAAATGACATTGATAACTTGGCTCTTTGGTCTTTGTGGTCTTAGTGGACTGATCTGTATTAGAACAAAAAAATTAACAATATAATGGTTTAATGGTAATTCAGCACATGGAATAGATAGATAGTCAACCTTCATTATTATAGGAGACAGTTGTATTGTAAGGAAACACACTTTCTTATTGAGCAGCTGACCTTATAAGTATGGCAAACATTTTTCTAGATCCAAAATATAACATAGCAATAACAAAATGAAATGTTTGGGGTTTAAAACAGTATTGCACTAAGTAATACTGTGGGATTCTCTATTTGAACACACTTTTTAGGAACTAAGGCATGTAATCTGGTAACTTCTAAATTCTTTGTTCTGGGTTTGCCATTATTATTAATCTTTTGCCACTATATTCTGCCATGCAGATACTTAAATCATAGTAAAACCTATTCCACGCTAAAAGAACATAGGAAACAAAAAAAGAGAGAGAGAGATGCTAAAGAGAATTAAAAATGATGTCTTTCTCCCACAGCAGTTATACAAGTATTGTATAATTTAATTTATACTTTTTTTCATATGAAATGTAAAAGAAAAATAGCTAAAAGCCTTTGATGTTAGTAATAAATGCATTGAGACTGAAACAATGACGGGCATCCTGAAATACATGAGTTTAAATTACCTTGCAAAGAATTTCTTTAAAATACCTTCCGCTCCATTTTTTCCATCCATCTTGTATTTTATTTTAACCCTCTTTTCCATATCCACCTCCCACCCAAATACCCCACATTTAATGCAACCGGCATGTTCCCATGCATTCAACTGTACTATCATACACTGGTCTATAACATTCAAATCTTTCAAATCTATATTTTAAACCTACATCCACAATTCTTTTTTTTTTTTTTTTTTTTTACTTTTTACTTGTAAAATAATCTCACCATCCCTCTCTTGATCTGAACTATTGTCTTGAACCTTATCTTGGCCTTTTGCATCTGAGGGCCAAAGTATATAGCAATATCATCTGTTAAGAATCTTTATGTGAATTTCAGTTATTAAAGGCCTTGACTATATGAGAAAGACATACTGATTCCTCCATAAAGGCAGAATACTTTCTCCTGGTCTGTGAGAACACAGAACTCATGGCACAAAATGAGAATCTGGATCAATTTGCAGCTTTTTACCAACAGTTAGGGAGCTGGTGGCGATCACTGTCGACCTCTATTTTTTGTGACACCTTGAAAAGATATTCTCATACAGAGAAAGGATGGTCTAATGGCTAGAATGCTGGCCTGAATCTAAGAACACTTTTGTAGCCTGGGGTAAGTCACTTAGTCTCTCTTCAGTTCCCCATCTGCAAAAATATGGAATGCCATACTCTCTCACAAGAATGCGAGGTTCAATACATTAAAGATTACAGGTACGCAAACTAGAATAAGCAGTGTCATTTAAGTGTGGATATATGTGGATCATCTATATGTGTGGATCATCTACTCTGCAGCTTTTTCCATTTGGCCTACTTACTCATGATGAGGGATGAGAGAGACAGAGAAGAACTGTTCTCCAAAGGAAATAAGAATGTAAGGAGACATCTTTTTTTTTTTCTTTTCTTGCTTTTCACTACCTTCAAAACAGCTACTAAATAACAGCTGTAAAAGTTATTATTGGATTTCTGCTTATACCACTGGAGACAGAAAACTATTATAAGGAAAAAGTGGTCAAGCACTATCACTTCATGGACCAACATAGACCATCTTGGGATCTGACTTGCATAAGAACCCATAGGAAGCCCCTGGTGGATCAGAGATTTGAACTCTTGTTTCTTGAATCCCAGGAGGCCCACAGTTTCTGAATAGAGGAAGAGACTGGGATTCAGAAAGAGCGATTAAGGCAAATAAATTATAGTAGTGACTGTGACCTATCTAAAAGAAGCAAAAAATAACTGCATCAAAGAATTCCCTATTTACAGTTCCACTAGCTTGCAACAGGTCCATCTGCAAACAACATTCAATGGATACTTCGGCTACATGAAACACTATGTTTTGTTTTAGTTTTGGATTCAGCCATTTCAGAGGACAGTGATTTGTTTCAGTGTTTCGGATCACTGTTTTGTTTCAATTCGGCTGAATCTGTTTTGGAGTTTCGATGCTGTTTCGGAGATTCAGATTAGCCAGGGAGAGGCAGGCACAGCCAGGTGGCTGCATGATCTCCCATGGCTCCTCTAGCTGTGCTTGCCTCTGCCCTGGCAGGGGGGAGCCGTGGGAGAAGCCCCCATGGCTATCCTACCTGGCCCTAGACTCCCGGCACTTTAAAAGGAGGGCTGCGGGGCTGTGCTGTACTATCCCTGGGGGGCACCTCTGAAACATTTCGCATGGTTTTGTTTCGTTTCAGAGATGTTTTGGAGCTTTCTGTTTCATTTTGGATTCATTGTTTTGTGGGCTGAAACACCTCCAAAACGAAACGGCTGCTGAAATTTCACACAGACCTAAAATACAGAAGCTCAGTTCATTCCACAATATGCTCCCTTGTATTGCTAAACATATCTAGAAACTATAGTTTGACAAAGGAGAATCCATAAGTCCTCACAAAATAACTGACCTTTCCATTTAAGACAGAGCAGGAAGGATAGTGTCATTCCAAATAAAAAGTGATTTCCCTTTCACCAGGGAAATGAAATCAGATGTGGTGAAGCTAAGCCCACCCTTTAGAAGATGAATAGGTTTATTCAATTAGCTAAATAAAGATCTGATACCTGAAGACAGTATATTCTGCCTAGAAGGTTCTTAATATCAATAATTTAGTTGACAAGAGTCCTAAATAGCAACACTAACACATCCCTAGCCCTGTAAAGCTAACGAACATTACTACTATTTTGCTCAGGCTGCACTGAATTTGAGAGACTTCAGTATATTTCTATACAAAGATGAGGCAAGACCCAAAGCACTTGGCTCAAGTCATGTAACTATGTAAGAAGGTTAAAGGTCTTTATTCCCATGCAAGACTACATAAAGCAGGGGCGGGCAATTATTTCAGGCAGAGGGCGGCTTACCCAGTTTTGGCAAGCTGTTGAGGGCCGCATGGGTAGCCCCACCCCCTGGTCACCATCTCGGGACCAATATCACAATGTCTTGGGACCAATGTCTCAGGGCCAGCACCTGTGGGGCCCAGAGCGGGGCCCAGGCTGTCAGGGGTCTGTGGAGCCAAGCTGGGCTGCACCAGCAGGGAGAGGGGGGAGCTGGCCTGGCTCCATAGAGCCCCTGCTGACCGGGACCCTGTACTCCCACCGGCGCTGGCCCTGGGACCCCAGCGTGGGCCCCATGCTCCTGCTCACTCCCAGTGCTGCCCAGCCCTGCAGTACAGGCAGGGGGCAGCATGCAGCCCCAATGCCATGCTCATTGGCAGGTAATGAGCTGGGGCTGTGTGGGGGGAAAAAAGGCCCCTCCCCCACCCCGTGGCTGGCACCATGCGCTGCAGACACTTGCAGCCCATGCGGGACTTTCCTGAGCAGGCACAGGCAGCCCCATGCAGGCTGCAAGCGGCTGCAGTGTGGGGCGATGGCCACAGGGCGGGGCGAGGCTGTTTTTCACCCATGCTCAGCACCAGCATGTAGCCTGCCCCCACTGCCAGCCTGGGTCCCACGCTGGCTCCGGGCTCACCCATTGAGGCTGTTCCATGGCGGCGGCAGCTGCGGTGCTCCCGCTTGCCACGCTGGGCAGTGTTTGCTGCCCACCCGGAGATCACGCGCTGGGCAGCCCGGAGGCAGCAGTGGCAAACACTGCCTGGTGTGGCAAGTGAAGAGGTCTCAGCTTCTGCCACTGCAGAGCAGCCCTGACGGGTGAGCCCAGAGCCGGCGCAGGGCCCAGGCTGGCAGGGGGGTGGGTTAGAAGCTGATGCTGAGCGGGGGAGGGAAAAGCAGCCCCTCCCCTGCCCTGTGGCCAACGCCCCACGCTGCAGCCGCTCACAGCCCACGTGGGGCTGCCTGTGCCTGCTCAGGCCAGCCGTGAATGGGCTGCAAGCAGCTATAGCAGGGGTGCCAGCCACGAGGCAGGGAGGGGCCACTTTTCCACAGGCTCCATCCCTGCCCGCGGTTCTCCCCCGCGCTCCTTCCCCCCCTTACCTGAATTTCCAGTGCAGTGCAGTCACATGGTCCCAAGCCAAAAGCCCCTGCTGGGGCTTCCAGCTGGCGGGGTGGTGGGGCCAGGCAGGCCCTGGTGCTGCAGGAGCCTGCCAGGCTTCCCCTGGGTCCTACTGCCCCTGAATCTGGCCCGCAAGCCATATTTTGCCCACCCCTGACATAGAGCATCACATTTTCTTTCCCTTTCTCTTTTATTCTCCCTACTAATTTCTTTTTCTCTCAATGATTTCTCTCAACAAGTTTTTCTTTACCTGTTGTATTAGGAAGGTAAATTAGGTCTGTAAATCCTTGCCTGATATTGCATACTGGTGTTTGGTTAATTGAAATGTCCAAAATAAATTGGTCTGCCCACTTCATAATCCCTGTTCAATTTTCCATCACAGTCTCTTCAGCAACATATTACTGATCAGACAGGCAGCAGCAAACTCCACTCTTTGGTTCACTCCCTTTGCTGTCTTTAATTTTGAGCTCTGATTTTTTTTTTAAAAACCATCCACTGGTAAAAATACTTTCTAGATATTAATCAAAATGGAGAAAAGAACTCTCTCATTCTCAGGACATTGTATGACAAGGAGAAAAAGCCCAAAGCTAAGAAGGGGAAAATGTAGCCAAGATGTTATATTAGGAAGAAATGTGAGTTACCTACCAACAGAAACTCCATGTTTTCTGAATATAATTTTTTTCCACAGACATGCTCTGTAGAAATTGTTTGTGTAGTCACACAAATTTTGAACTGTAGAGGGCACTTACACAATTATTTTGTCAATAAGAAATTTAAAAGTGAGGTATAAGGACTGCTGTAGCTTTGTGAAGAAAGCTGAAAGACAAGTTTGCCTTATGGACTTGTATCTCCAAAAGCCTTTTGGTGAGCCAAGACAGAGAATTAGTTCATTTAGGGGATCAGAGAACTCTTTTGGCAGCTGGGTTAATATTA